CTCTTTCTCTCCTTCCTCCTCCTGCCTTTCAAGGCTATTGCTAAATCTTCATTTCTTCTTCTATAAGTTCTCCAAATTCTATTTCTACTGCCAAAACCATCATTCATGTCTTGGTAATCTTCTGCCTGAACTACTACAACCTCCTATTCCTTAGTTCAGAGGTTCTCAAACTGTGGTCAGTGGACCACCAGTGGTCCGCGAGCTCCATTCAGGTGGTCCGTGGATAGTTCCCTCTAAGGTGCACACTGGGCGGCCATACACAAGAGAATGAAGGGCCATCCACCTAATTAGTGGAGCCGCGCAGGCATGGCTCCACAAATTAGGTGCCTGGACCCTGGAGAAGACGCACATGTAAGGTGAGGTGGCCTTGGGGGGGGGGGATACGGGGTAGATGGGAGGGGGCAGTGGAGTGAGACGAGGGGGTGGGGGGCATATGGGACATGCAGGGCTGCAGCGGCCAGAGAAAGAGGCGACTTTCCCCAACTCCAGGGCTGCGGCTGCCAAGGAGAGACGGTCCTCCTTCCCAGCCTCAGCTCTGTAGCAGCTGTGGCAGGGGAAAGATCCCCCCGCTCCTTCCAAGCCCCAGCTCGGGGGCTGCTGCAGTGGGGGAGAGGGGCACATCCATTGCATTAGAAAGGTAAGACTGCTGATATTAAAATACGAGTTGTGTGCTTTTATTTGTAGAACAAAAAAACAATTAAGGTTTTTTTTTTTATATAGCGCTTTTATCCAAAGTGCTTTACAACAGTTAGCTAACAGTACAATCAACATTTGGAAAGATCATTAAGTAGTCCGCTGAGACCCTCAGCAATTTTCAAGTGGTCCGTGGAAAAAAAAATGAGAACCACTGCCTTAGTTTACATGACTCATTTGACACCTCCCTGTCTATCCAATAGGTGAGTGGTTCTCAAAGCCAGTCCGTCACTTGTTCAGGGAAAGCCTCTGGGGGGGCAAGGCCGGTTTGTTTACCTGCCGCGTGCGCAGGTTCGGCCGATCACGGCTCCCACTGGCCGCTCTTCGCTGCTCCAGGCTAATGGGGCCTGAGGGAAGCGGAGCGGGACGAGGGAGGGGCCGAGCCTGCGGATGCAGCAGGTAAACAAACCGGCCCAGCCCACCAGGGGCTTTCCCTGAACAAGCGGCGGACCAGCTTTGAGAACCATGGCAATAGGCCACTGCTAAACTCATCATCCTCTTCCACAACTCTGTCGTCACAAATCAATCCTTCAAAGGTTTTACAATGCTGTCTACATCTAATTCAAACTGCTCATCTTCACCGTGAAAGCTCTAAACAGCTCTTCCTATATCTCTGTGTGAAACGTTTGTATGAAAACCAAAAAAAGCGTAGCATATTGCTACTACATTTTCTATATGGCAACTCAAAACAAATTTTGTTTGATAGTACAGTAGTTGTAAATAAATGCAGTATCACAACATTGGATCTTGTTCCCACAATCAGCTCTGTAGAGACAAACCCATATCAATGGGGCTTCATGGGGGGGGAGGGAGGGGGAGTGCAGGGTCTGCCAATTCAAAGCTCACAGGAAGATCAGACTTAACTAAGACTCAGTGAGTGGCATAGGCTTTGTCTGAAAACAGAAAATACTTCTAAAACAGGTTTTAAAATAACTAAAGCTATGGTTCTAAGAAAATGTAAGACTAAGCAGTCTAAGTAGTAAAACCTTAAATCAATTTTCTATCAATGAAAACGGATGTACCACATAGATGCATACAAGTAGTTAATTGCACAGCTTTGTAGTAACACAAATGTACAAGTTCATCTGCTGAAGAAAATATGCCAAACAGCCACAGATAAAAGTCTTTACAAGCAAGTTTTTTGCTTTATTAATTCAAATCCCCAGAGAAATTAAAAGCAAAAGACTAGCATCAACTGTACACTGACATCACAGAACCAAGCACTAAAGCATAAAATTATTAAAAAGAAAACTAAAGGCTTTCAGCAACATTATTAAGTTAGCTAAGTTCAACATATGTAGTATTTTTTTATTCCTACCTTCCTTGTTGAAAATGAAGTTTAATGAAATTATTGTTACTAGGGAATATCATAAAACATATTAGCCTCTCCACTAAGTGAAAGGAACACTAATGTAAATTTGTCCCAATATTTGGCAAAAACAGGCTTGTATAAAACCAACAATAATGTTTCACAAACTGTTTTTTAAACTCCAATAGAAATAGTTGTTTATAAAATAATCATACTTATGGAATGTTTGAAACCCAAACACTGCGGCACTAGGAACTAAAAAGTGAAACTGACAAACTATAAAAGTAAAAAGAATTTACATGGATTTAAAAAAGTTAAACAATGTAACTAAACAAGTACATAAAGACCATTGTGATGAAGTAAACAAGATTTAAATTTTTTTCTTCCAGTATTAATTTAAGGTCCTGATTCAACAGGATACTAAAGCAAGTGCCTAACTTTAAGCACTTTTTAAGCACCATATTGAATCAGGACTTACGGCCCAAAGGTTGTAAAGAGATCCATGAAGGCAAATACCATCAGATTAGGCCTGAATAAAGACTGGGAGTGGTTGGGTCATTACAAAACCTAAACTTAATTTCCCCAATACTAATTTCTCCCTACTGTTACTCAGACCTTCTTGTCAACTGTCTGTAATGGACCACTCTCTTACCACTTCAGAAGTTATTTCTCCTCCCTTGGTATCCTGCTGTTAATTGATTTATCTTGTCAGACTGATTTAACACTTGGTAAAGCAACCCACACCCTTTCACGTATTTATACCTGCTCCTGTATCTTCTACTTCATACATCTGATGAAGTGGGTTCTAGCCCACAAAAGCTTATGCCCAAATAAATTTGTTAGTCTTTAAGGTGCCACAAGGACTCCTCGTTTTTTTTTCTAAGTCAATGGAGCTCACTTCTGGAACAAGGGTCTTCCCATCTGGGTCTTATTCTGAGATCAGGGCTTAAATTATCATTAGGTGTTTATGTACTACCCATGATTTTTATGTTGAAAGTGTCTTTTTAGGTTTTGAAATGTCTGGATTTTGAGTCTTAGGCTTTTGGCATTTAATTATTATAAATTATTTAGCACAGAAATGTTTAATTGTACAAGAGAGGAATCATATTATTCATACTAAAGACATTTTTCATTGTTGAAGCGTGAAACTAATTTTCCTTGTGTTATATACTTTGTGAAAAGTAAATACGTTTCACTTACAAAAGAACAATTAAAAAGTGTACAGCTGAAGTTGTGTTCTCATATTTTTCACTCACTAAAAATGAAATTATTTTCTATTTCCAAAGAAGGGTACCAGCCTTAAAATGCAGTTCTACTCTGAGGTGCCTCTGTAGAATTGGCATATTCTTACTCAATTAATCTGCTCTGTATGTATATTTAGAGTGACAATGGGTTAAAACTTGTTTTTACTACTCCTTCCTCTTGCTTGTATGGTAGAACCAAAACAGGTATTGGATACTGAATCGGATTCAGTTATGGCTTATGTATCAACAGAATTGTTCATTAAGTTCCAATCCAGAATCTTTATGATTGAACTGCATAAGTAAGGCTGCAAGTCCGTCACCGAGGTCACAGAAGTCATGGATTCCATGAATTCAGCAACCTCCTTGACTACTGCAGCGGCCAATGCAGCTGACCCCAGAACCAGCCGCTCAGGCGGCCCCAGGGCTGGCCGCGCTGGCCACTGCTGGAGCGGCGCTGGGACCAGCCACTTGGCCAAGCACCATTCCCAGGCACAGCCAAGCAGTATTCCCAGGGGCAGCTCCGGAGACCACTGGAACAGCAGTGGTCCGGGGCAGCCTGAGCAGCGGTTGGTGGACGGCCCTGGGTGCAGCCAGAGCAGCAACCCCAGAGACTGTTGGAGAGCAGTCCCCGGGGGCCTCGGTGCAGCAGGCGGCTGGAGGCAGTCAGCCCTCACCACCAGAGCAGGGCCAGCCATCGGCACCTGGGACCCCCCAGAGCAGCGGCATCCTAGGAGCATCTAAAATTTAGTCAGGCATATTTATAGTACAAGTCATAGACTGGTCATGGACCATGAATTTTTGTTTATTGTCCGTGACCTGTCAAGGACTTTTACTAAAAATACCCATGATTAAAGCTTAGCCTTACACATGAGCCAGAAAGCATACACAGCTTGCCTTTCAGACTGCATTTAGAGTTAGAATCATAGAATATTAGGGTTGAAAGGGACCTCAGGAGTCATCTACTCCACTCCCCTCTCAAAGCAGGACCAATCCCCAGACACATTTTTACCCCAGTTTCCTAAATGGCCCCCTCAAGGATTGAGCTCACAACCCTGGGTTTAGCAGGCCAATGCTCAAACCACTGAGCTATCCCCCCCAAGGCTGACGGTTAAAAGAACAAATCCTCTTACTAACCTAGAAACTGCTGAGAAGACATGGGGCCTAGAACCCTACAAACCCATTTTTAAAGCCACTGTTCAGATCCATACCACAGTAAAGCCAAAAGATTAAGCAGAGATGTCAGTCCATTCCCTCTGGTCCAGGGCCATCCTGAATTTATCAGCCTCATCCTGCAGCCGACCTCGCACATTTTTTAAACAGGTAACAAAAAACTTTCAGGACTCACAAAATCATCACATCTTTTGGTGTGACACGGGGTTATCACCTCACAACATCCATGTGGGGTGATACACCGACTGCATGACAACAAAACACTATGGCCCACTGGGGCATCAACAGACTGAGCTGCAGCATCACCAGTTGGTGACACACTAGGGTACCACTTCTGCCACCAGCGATGCACGGGACGGGGGCTGCAACAGCCACGCTTTGCCAGGCGGGTGCCCCATCCTCAGGGAGGAACACCGAGGTGTGACCGTGCTGGGGGAGCAGCACTGGGCAAGGTGAGACTGGCAGCAGGTGCTTGGAGACCTCCAGCTCCGCGTGGCCTTGGGGTGGGAGGCACGAGGCACAACCCTGTCCCGCCCCGCCCCAGAGATCAACAGCAACCCCGCGCCCCTGCCCTTCCCCCACACCTCCACGAAGGCGTCAGTCAGATCACTGGCTCGGTCCATCACTGGCAAATGGCGTCCGGCCACGATCTTGACCTTCAACTTCCCCGGCATCTTCCTGCCCCCAGCTGCAAGGAGAAAACAACAAGAGCAGCGTGTTTGTGTCCCAAGGAACGGTAACGGAGCGACGTGCGCATGCGCGAAGCTGGGCAACGGTAAGCAAGTCCCTCACTCCCCTCCATTCGGAGCGCCCACGGGCATAGCCCTTGAAAGGGGGGGGAAGGGGGGCATGCATGAACCCGCGCGCATGCGCAAACGTTCGATGCAGCCCGATTGGGAGAAAAAGTCGTCTTCCGGGCGCATGCGCCGGCGTTGCTGGGTGATACTAAGAGAGAGCCTGTTAATCGCGCCCAACGGTTATCGAAGGTTATTTCTTCGCACCGTTGTATCATACCAAGGTACCGCTCACCTTCACCTCCTCCCGGCGTGCTCCACTGAAAGGAATAGCAGGGGGCCCGCTCCTCCTCTAAACCAAAATGGCGGCCGCCCTGCGTACGGACTTAGACCTGGCTAGAAGGCGATGGTGTCGAGTACCGAATCGTCGATAGGCCACGAGCGAGGCTCGGGCTTACACTGTTGGGTAGAAAGGCGATGTGCTTGAATGCCGCATCATCGATTCAACATCACACGTCTCTCAGCCTCCAGGACACTAACGCGAGCGGGTGCGGAGGGTGGGATGCGGCAAGGCAAAGTGAAGGGTGGGGAGGGATGTTTCCGTATCTGCTCCCTGGGGCCCCCGCTCGTGTACCCTTCTCAGTGCTCTTTGGCAGAGAGAAATCGCTCCAGCTTGCTGTTGTCCCTAAGCCTCCCGCACGCTAATAGCACAGGTAGCAAAAGAGCCTCGCTGCCCCTACGGCCCATGAAATGCCAGGCCGTGAGCAGTATCTCTGCTCGCAGGTGCCACAGAAGTAAGCCCCAGAAGATCCAGTCAGTTTTTATACATCTGTGACGTTCTCCTGATGTTATATGGACTGGTGATCTGCTAGGTCACTACAGTCCTTGACATTGGGAGCCAGCCTTACCCTGCTCTGCTGTGAGAACCCCCGTCCTGGGCTGTTCACGCACAGCCTCTAGCATGTAAACTGCTCTCAGCTACGTGAGTGGGCGCTTTTAGCCAGCCGCTGCTTGGATTGTGCATTCGAATGACACTAGCCAATATCTCTGGTCCCAGACACAACCCTAGGAACCTCCGTCTTGCAGTGTCCAGTTATGCCTACTGGACGCTGCAAGCTAATATGAGTTCGTCACTTTAACAAAGAAATTGATATCTACCCGGCTTGTTATCCCAAGGGGAGTCTCTGACACGCTTCAGACCAAACACACTGCTTCAGGTAGAACAAACAAACAAGTTTATTAACTACAAAAGATAGATTTTAAGTGATTATAAATCAAAGCACAACAAGTCAAATTTGGTCAAATGAAATAAAAGCAAAACGCATTCTAAGCTGATCTTAACACTTTCAGTGCCCTTACAAACTTAGATACTTCTGACCACAGTCTGGCTGGTTGCCCTTCAGCCAGGCTCTCCCCTTTGATCAGCACTTCAGTCACTTGGTGGTGGTGTCTGTAGATGGAGGCAGAAGAGAAAGCCAGCATGGCAAACGTCTGTCCCTTTTATCATGTTCTTTCTTCCCCCTTGGCTTTGCCCCCCCTTCAGGGTCAGGTGAGTATTACCTCATTGCAGTCCCAAACTGACCAAGGGAAGGTGGGGATGACTCACTGGAGAGTCCAACAGATCCTTTGTTGCTGCTTAGGCCAGTGTCCTTTGTTCCTGTGAGGCTGGGCTGGGTTTGTCCCATACATGCCCTGGTGAGGTGTGAACTGCCCCTCTGTTCCTGGAGAGTTTTGCCTGGGCTTGTTTTAAGCCATGAGGACACATTTTCAGGCTCATAACTGTATACATGAAATTACAACCTGTAACATTACTATAAGAACAATGCTCAGTGCTTCATGAGCCTTCCGAAGACACCCGACATGACAAACTTTGCATTAGATACCAAGGTTTCAGAGTAGCAGCCGTGTTAGTCTGTATCCGCAAAAAGAAGAACAGGAGGACTTGTGGCACCTTAGAGACTAACAAATTTATTAGA